AGCAACAAATACTGGATCACCCGAATACACCTTAATCCTCAGCCCAAATTCAAAAAGCTGGCATGGAATTGCTCCCTGCTGCCACTGAGACAGGTGATGACTACATCTTTTGTAGCCAATTCTCACAAAAAAGTAACAGCTGCGAGCCATGTATATATGTTGCTCATGGTCAGTGTGGGTGCCCATGAAGAACTGACAACTGATGAGATGAAGCACAGTCTACAAACATTAAAATATGGAGTGGAAAGACAATAGAGCACAGTACCTGAGTCCTCAGCTGATGTCTGCAGGGCCTGCAGCAAGAGCAACAGAAGGACATAGACACTGCAACAACCCATGTTTCAGTGCACTGACAGAGGGAGGGAAGGAGGGAAGAGGAGCCAGTGAGAGTTCAAATGAGTACACTCTTGCAAAGAGGATAATTACATTTAGCCCCTCTATGTTTTCTGATGATCCCTGCCAAGGCTTCAGACAGAAAGGAAGCCACAACTTATAACAGCTGAACCCAAAGAGTCATCTGTTTGTCTTTGTCAATGATTCACTTGATACATATTACTGTATATCGAATAAACTGCAGACATTTCAAAGACAACCGGCAGAAAACTGCTTACAGTCAGTGTATGTACTTAAATTTCTTTACCTAGACGTAATGTAATCATGTTAGTTGTTATGTTCAATCACTTCTAATGGCTTTAGATGTAACATTTGTTGAAACTGTACCTGTTCCTCTGCAGACTAATAGTTAATGTAGCACAAACAACAACTAATAACACAAATTAGGCTAGCATGCTAACACCAGATATGTCAATGTCACAGCCTCGTGTTTTGAAGTGAAGTATATCAATATGCAGTTATCAGCGACTCATTCTTAGTAAACCTCACAGACTGGAGGCCTGCTTGTTTGCTGTGGCTAACAGGCTGTTTTATTGGCCGTCTACAGGCGTCTCGGAGGCGCCAGTCAGACAGACGTCTGCCCGTTAGCCCTTCAAGCTAAGCTAGCTGTACAGCAACAAAGCGCAGCCTGGCAGCCGGACGACGGCTCCCAAAAGTGAGCCATAAAAAAAAAAAACACTCACCTTCCTGGCACATACGGAGTGCAGACTCTAACTCATTCTGGGATGTCTGCGTATCCGCGTACTAGGTTTAAATAATGTTATTAGTGTGTTTTGCGACGTATGAAGCTGAAAGCAGGACCACAGCCCAGCCCACCCACTGGCTGCTTTCCCCTCCAGCTATGCCTGACGTCACCAAAACATTACCACCAAGATGCATTGTGGGGCAGAGGAGTCCTCCAGCAGGTTGTTGGCAACAATTACCATAACACCAGTGGTATTACTGTTATTATTCATGGGGAATAGTAATCTTTACATGGCTGTTCAATTAAGCATGTAACTACGTTTTTTTACTGCGTATTTTACCACGTGCATTTACTCATCAAGTACAATTCTGAGGTACTTGAACTTTACTTGAATATTTTAATTTTATGCTGCTTATATGCTACTACACTACATTTCAGAGGGAATATTGTACTGTTTATTTAACAGGTGTACTAGTTACTTTCAAATAATACTTTACATATACAAAATTTGTTTAGTTTATAAAATATGATGCAGTTGTGTAGATAAAGCTGTCCAACAGTTTATAAAGCAGGTAAAAAAGTGAGGTGCCAGTAAAAGTAAAACGTAGAGGTACTCATTCTTATTATTGATGCATTAACATGTAAGCAACATATTAATTTTGTAACCTGGTATGTATCTGTATGGAAAAAGTACAATATTTACTGAAAAATGTAAAATTGTATTTAAGTACAGTTCTTGAGTTAATGTACTTAGTTACTTTACACCACTGCTAATGTCTGGTTAGTTGGTACTTAAGTCCTTAAGTTTAAGTTAAGTTTACGTTAAAAGTCAAATAAGAATAGCAATGAAAGTTAATGTGCAAGACGAGGAAATCCCTGAAGAAAGCATATTTATCACCCATACCCAAATAACATAAAATAATATTCACACTGTCAAAGATATTACACTACAATAAGATTTTAATAACTGTTAGAAATAATGCTTCAGTAAATTAAAACTTTAAAATAGATAATTCTTCACCAGAGTACACATGCATAATACTTACAGTATATACTTGGATAAATACTTTTCTTTAAGGTTCTAGGATTTATATATTGCATATTTTGCATATTTACTGATGTACCTTAACATTGTTGCAGTACTAAGATTTGAACACCACTATGAGGAAAAAAGACATGACAAAATTACTTTATATGTGTCTCACTGAGCGGCCTAAATATAGACTTAGAGGGGGAGTGGTGTATGAGCACATGTCCTCCAAATACAAACTGTATGACTCAGACACCTGTAACAGCTTCAGGGGAGAAGTCGGGGAGTATCCTGTAATTTTAACTCTGACGCATCTTACAGTTATTTTACAGTTCTCTGTGTGCGGGTGAACATTTAGTCAGTAATCTAATGTCACATATACAGCTCCACAGAGATTTGGAAACAAGACATACATTGATTATTACAGCATCCAAGGACAATTACCGGTGAAAAAAGTCAAGGACTATTTAGTCTCTTTATGTCAGTCAATAGTCCATTGACAACCAATGATGACTGATTATAAGTATGATAACACTTATTACGCTTTGTGTCTTGTTGCAGAGCCTACTTGCTTAAATGTGAGAGTTTATTGGGGTGTTACAGTGTCATTAAACATGACTAGATTTGTTAGTTACTTTATTTGTTAAAGAAGTGACTAACATCACAGCAGTAGTCACTATCATAGGAACTTGGCATAGTGCAGTTTGTTTGATTCTCATGATACACTGCTTATTTAATCTGAGTGACAGACTACACTAGGAACAACTTTAATTCCTAACTGTGATACACTTTTTTTTTGCATGTCGGATAATGCTTCTCCCCCCGTATGAACAAACAATGACCCAAAGCAGCATATCCTTTGTATGTAGCAATAATTAGCAGTGAATAAGTAAAATAAACCATATGAAATTCTTACACAATGTTTAATAGCAGAGACAGGCCATCTAGCCTGAAACTAAGACAACCAACAACAACAACAACAAAGATTAATGCAGTTTTGAGACTGAACATAGTGTCTGTGTTCAACAGATCATATCCCCTCTGGTTTACTTCTATCTTCTGTAATATAATGTGATTATGTGTTTGTCAAATTTTAGGTGCTTGTCCTGACTGGGCAGCTGTGGATGAATGAGAGGCAAATGGTAATGCTCTTTGTTCATTAAAGTAGAAAATTGCCATGTAAGTGCAGTCCATTTACCAGTGTCTGCTTTACACGCTTTTGTTAATCTGCACGTTGTTTACCTCACTCATTTTAACGTTTTATGCTCTGTTCAGTGGCTTTGTGTATTTGCCTGCTTTCTCCTGTTATCATTTTCCATGTCAATTGTTTTAATGTTGTCTTAATGGCTCATTTAACATCTGGTCAAGGGACAACAGCTGAAAAGTAGCTTTTTGGCTAAAACTGGCACATTTACAGGGACGCTGGTCAATGTGCGCTGTCCCTGTTAAAAAGAAGCAAATTACATATTTATTATGTGTGGGTGACTAACTAAGAATTATTTTCATTATTGATTCATGTGCAGATTATTTTCTGTTAGTCCCAAACCCAAAGATGTTCAGTTTACGATCATGTACAACAAAGAAAAGCATCATATCTTCACATTTGAAAAGCTGGAAACAGCAAATGTTTGACATTTTGTCTTAGAAGACGACTAAAACAATTGCGGATTCATTTTCTGTCAATAAACCCATGTCTTATACAGTTTGGCTGTTAGTTAAAGCATCATCTACTCAACTGATTACAAGACGAGCTGCACTGAGCTCTGGGTGGCTTACCACCTGCAGCTAAACAGGAAAATCCTATATACTCTCACCGAGAATCTCAGGAGAGTCCATATTTCATGTGAGTGTTTGATTTAAGAAGTCCCTCTGTGCTTCCGTCTCCGTTCACCCATGCATGCTGAGGATCACATACCGTCTCCCAAAAAAGAGCTCTCCCTCTCTCTCTCTCTTCTAAAATCTGCCTGAAAACTAATATGACCCTTCATCTCCTGAGCAATCATGCAGATCTGAAACTGCAACAAAACCACAGCAACTAAAATAAAGTGGATAAGGAGATACATTTCTTTCACTTGTCACCTGTTAAGATTTATTTACTTCTTGTTTGGCCCAGTAGCTGTTCACAAAATTGTGTGTGTGTGTGTGTGTGTGTGTGTGTGTGTGTGTGTGTGTGTGTGTGTGTGTGTGTGTGTGTGTGTGTGTGTGTGTGTGTGTGTGTGAGTGTGTGTGTGTGTGTGTGTGTGTGTGTGTGTCTGTGTGTGTGTGTGTGTGTGTGTGTGTGTGTGTGTTTGTGTGCGTGTGTGTGTATGTGCAAAGAGAGAGAAAGGGGAGAATTGTATCAAGTAGCCGATATGTTTTCCCTCCACTGGGTCCTGCGGCTGCGAACAATAGCCAGCGCTGTTTGTTCTTGCTTACCTGGGGCTTTAGTCTCCAGTGAGTCGGAGCAAGCCCCAGCCAGTATCTATTCTCCACGAACACAGCTCCAGCACAGAGACACATTGTCCGCAGCTTTTTTAATTAAAGGCCCCGGGTCGACACTCTGTGCCAGGTGACCTGAACTGCTCCGAGCCTACATGTGCTGAGCACTATCCTCTCCACTGGGGATAAGTCTCAGTGGATAATTGGAGGGGGAAATGCTATACTGCTATCATGAGATGGAGGAAGGATTATGTACTGAGGACTTTGACTTAAGAGGTGGGGATAGAGGAATAATGTAATGTTTTCTTCTTTTTACATCCAGCCTACCTGCCTCATTCTCCCACCTCTGTCTCAGGGCCAGGTTATAAGAGAGGGAGGGGACAGGTGACTGACTTTTTTCAATGAAATCCACCTGCTCCTCATCTCTGTTGTATTAGAGATTCTCCCAAGCAGAAGTTTCCTACCAGAGCCGACATGGAGCGTCTACAGAGAAGGCTGCCTGTAGCTTTCCTCCTTCTTCTGCCTCTTCTGTCTGTCGACTGTGTCTCCAATCCAAAAACTACAGGTAGATTATGTCAATTGGCTTATGATAGGCTTATGTGCATGTGCATGTTCAAAATAATGCATGAGGAGGAAGTTTATAGTTTGCGGGTGTGTGCTCTTGCACAGGAGCATTGGGATTTAATCTTCACTTAATCTGCAACTCTTCCCCACTGTTTTGTTCAGTTTCCTGGTGTGTATTGTCTGTTGCTGAAGAGCAAAAGTGTCTGGATTTGGCCGGAAACGCTACAGCTCGGAATATTAGAGGAACACTGAAATGTGTCCGTGGCCTGAACACCAGAGACTGTATGGACAAAATCAAGGTACCTAAAGACACTGGGGTGGGAAATTTATTAATTATTATAATTCCATAGAATATGAGATTTTATTGGGGGGGGGGGGGGGGGGGGGTGTATCTATGGCATTTCTGATAGCCATTTGAAATAGTTTCAACTTCACGGAGGAGGTCGAAAACCATCAAGCTTCTTTCCTGTATATTTTTGTTTACATTTCACATCACAGTTTAGAACAACCAAGCATCCATCATCCATTTGACATTGACAAAATAAATGTGTTTTCCTCAGAATGGGACAGCAGATGCAGCCTCCATGTTCGCAGATGACATTTATGCCGCTGGCCTCTGCCACGGCCTGGAGCTGGCAGCAGGAGAGTCCCACAATGGAGTAGGTAAGTAGATACTAGGAGCAGCTTGCCTAATGTGAATCAGCACTTATAAGGATGCCAAAACATGTCAAAATGAACGTATAATCCAGCAGTACATGCAGATATATGTACATGTACATGTAAACTCATACTGTATACCCAGCGTGTACTGCGCTTTATGCTGTTGTATTAAATTTCTTATTCCTGATCTGTTAAAAGATTCCCACTTGCTTTCTCGTCATCTGTTTTTTTCGCTCAAACCCTTCGTCCAGATGGTAATAGTTACTACGTGGTGGCGATGGCTCGTCGCTCCTCTTCAGACCTGTCCCTGCTGGAGATGCATGAACGCAGCTCCTGTCACCCCGGCATTCGAACCACGGTGGGGTGGACTGTCCCTATAGGCTACCTGGTCAACACCTCCCAGATCAGCGTAGGGGAGCAGTGCAACTTCCCCAGAGGTGAGGCAGAGTGGGGCGGAGGGTAAGAGAGACTGTAGGTGTATAAATCTTTGTGTGGATGGTATATGAGAGGTTCAGATGGAGAGGGGGGTGGGGGGGGCAGTGATGTGGAACAGAGAGGTGAAGCGATGGAGGAGACAAGAGGTAAGAGGAGAAGAGTCGGTTACAGACCACAGCATCTTTCTCTGTAAATGTGAGTTTGATAGGGATGTGTGTGAGTGTGGGGGTGTAACGATGAACAGAAGAACCTATTGGATTTTTCTGTAAAGAACACAAAACAAATCCCACAGACAGACCAAAACCAAAAATTTACTAATATAATTAACTAATTAATTAAGTATTGTCTTTGTATCCAAAGTCTGATATGATATCTGAATCTTCTGAATCTTCTGAATCTTCAAGCTCTGCCAAAAACACATTTTCCTTTAATATAATGAATATGGGCAATGTAGTTTATGTTGAGTCGGTCCGACAAATACAGTCCTGCTGCTGTAAATTTTTACAGCAGCAGCTGTGACTGGTTTTAAAAAAATTCTGTCAAATGTGTTTGGGGCTTTGAGAGCCACAGATGAGGTAGTACTGTGGTTTTGAAAAGTATTAAGAGATGGACTTACTCACCTTTGGCTTTTGACTTTTCATGGGGTTCACTGGCAGGAAGAAAAATGTAGAATTGCTTTTCAAAATTTGCTAATACCTACAGTGTCTATTAATTCAATAATCATGTTACTCTGGAATTATTGTTATTATTATTATCAATTTCATTTGAAAATTCATACAGACGTCCACAATGTGATTGTACAGTATACATGTCACACATTAATGAGACAGGCAGAAAACATGCCTGTTAACACTATGTGAATGCTACAACAGAACAAACACAAAAATTCAACTTGAACTTTCCAACCAAGAGTCCAAGACCCAAAGACTCTTCTTATCCATACGACACTCCTCTTGAATGGACTTCATTTTAAAATACACCATCCCACCCATGAGACACTTTGGCCTCAGTAGCACTACTTTAGGTGTGTTTTAGTTCATACCTGACTCAATCTTCACACAATCATGAAAACTTCCACATTTGAAAGCTTTAAGTCTCCTGAGTGTATCTGTGCAAAGCATTTCAGGATCCACATATCTCTGCAACAGCTGCTCATACAGCCTTGGTTGAGACTTGAGACTATGGCTCCAAAGTGCTACTACAGGCCTTATGGTCTCTTTTTATTCAAAAAAACAGGAGAGGCTAAAAAAAACCTACATTTCTACCACAATTTGCTTCCGTAGCTAGAGTTACCTTTCAAAGGAGAGCAGGGTAATCCAAATGGTTGAAGAACAGTAGCCTTTTTATTTTGGGTACATCATTGTTGAGCAGAAATGGGAGTGTGTGATTACAGGTTAATATAATTTAAAGGAGGCGTTTTCATTAAAATAGGTTTTCCTACTTTCTCCTTTTTTTTTTGCCAGCGGTCGGAAACTTCTTTGGTTACAGCTGTGTCCCAGGTGTCAAGGACCCCCAACACGACCCCAGAGGCAACAATCCCAAGAACCTGTGTGAGGCCTGCATAGGAGACGAGAACGATAGACACATTTGTGCCAACAACCAGAGAGAGCGGCACTACGGAGAGGCAGGGGCCCTGAGGTACAACACTGACACAAGCAATGTGTGAAATAATACACTAATGGCACATATTCTTCTCAGCTTACTGTGAAGTGCTATAGGGTCTGTAGTCATACTATAGGGTATTACATTACATAGTAGAAAGAGATAAAATGTCCATTCATTAAAACAGGCCGCGAACAGATCAAAATAAAAGAACAACGTGAAGGGTCAGTTTGCTCATTTATATACAGTATACATATATATATATATATATGTGTGTGTGTTGAGTAGCAGTGTTGAGTAAAATGGCCTTTGACATAATAGTACGTGTGTAAGACTGGAATAAAAGAGCTACAGGACCTGATTTAACAATAAACAAACAATAGGCAGCAGAGAGTTTACCTATGATCTCCAGAGTCATGCTGTTACAATAACACATTCCCAGGCATGCTGATTATGTTTTCATCTATTTATAGATTTAAAAAAGCGTTTGATTTTTCATGTGTTTTATGTTTTGTTTTTTTTTCTCAGATGTGTGGCTGAAAACCTCGGCGACGTGGCCTTTGTCAAACACACAACGGTCTTTGACAATCTGGATGGTCAGTGTTCAAATTATGATGCATTTTAGAGACGACACCAGAAGTCGTACAGTGTAATGACATAATTGTATAATTTATATGATTAATGATGCGGGTTACATGAGGTTACATTATCAGCAGAGAGTGCTAGTCCCTGTCAAGACACTGGATGTCAGTGTTTAACAGTATTTCTCATATGAGTCTCACAGTACCAGGTGGAATCCAGAGTATGTTGGACAAATTCAGAAATTATATATTATATCATTGTGTGTGTGTGTGTGTGTGTGTGTGTGTGTAAGAGAGACAGAGACAGACAGTAGGATTAAAGAAGAAAACAACATTAGTGAGACCATAAGTGAGAATGAAGAAGAAACAGAAATAGACAGGAGGGGACAGACAGAAGGACTGAGGTGCAGACATTTGTGTCCAGAAATGAAATGCCCTAATTCTCTGTTTTGCTGCATCTGCTCCTCCGCTTTGGGCAACATCCAAAATTAATGGCGATCATTATCACGGTCACGCAACACAGACTCTGCTGGTACAGCCGAGAAGGAGCAGTTTGACGCCGGCTCCTCAAACACTGTCGCTGTTTAACGAAGCACGTTTTCTCATATGGTTCAGAAATGTCTGGAGTCAGACCAATTAACGGAGGTCAAGAAAACACAGAAGGTCTGTGTTTTTGTCTGGTGGGGAGAAAGTAGCTTCAAGGTAGTCTGCATCTTTTCCTCTAATTATTTGTTTAGCTAAATGAAGTTTTGTTTGCTTTTTTAAGTTTTAGGTGACCAACTGAATCTGTAAAAATCACAACGTGAATAAGATAAAGTCAACATATACTGATTCAGTAGGAAATGAGGAAATCTGCCGTTTGATTCATTTGCCTTTACAAGCAAATTAATAAGTTCACAAAATCAACACAAAGTAAAACAGTGCTTATAGACTGCCAGGTAACTTCAATTCTGCACCTCACAAAATGTAATTAACATATTAGAAATAATTATAGGGAATAAACTTCCATGTTTTTAGCTTGAGATTCACGTCTTAGCACATGAAAAATGCTACATTCTTGACTAGGACTTTTGAAGTGGCTCTAAGGAATACAGTTGTTAGTGGAAGTAGAAGATTGATGCCACTCTCTTCTCTGTCCATTCAATATAAAGCAACGGACAGCAACCAGTTAGCTTAGCTTAGCATAAAGACTGAAAACTGGGAGAAACAGCTAGCCTAGCTCTTTCCAAGGTGTGACAGTATGGATGTGTGGGACTATTTCTTGGCTAGGTTACAGTGACTTCCTGATGTCTGTGACTGTGTGAGGTTTCCAGGCAACCAACAAAAGACTCCAGGATTTCATCACTTCAGTTCATGTACAGATTAAACATACAAAATGTTACGTCTTATAGTAGTAAGCTTCAAAGCTGCTGGTAGATGGATTTTCTTAGCTTTGGACAGAGCCAGACTAGCTGGATTCACCTGATCCTAGTCTTTAAATATGTGTATTTCCCAAAATGCCCAACTCCTATAATTAAATTAAATCTGACAGACTTTCACTCCTCTTCCTGCCCAGGTAAGAACCAGGAGTCCTGGGCCCTGGATCTGGAGCTGGAGGACCTGAAGCTGCTGTGCCCGGATGGGACTGAAGCGGGCCTGGACGAGTATAGACAATGCCACCTGGCAGCTGTCCCTGCTAACGCTGTGGTGGTGCGTATGGAGGACAAGTGCCGCGTTTGGAAGTACCTGGAACGTTTACAGGTGGGTGTGGACAGAAATTAAATCAGCTGTGTGTGTATGTGTATGTGTGTGTGTGTGTTTGAGTGTGCACTATTCCCTAGTTTATATCCATCTCTGTGGAGTCTATATCGATCTGCACGTCTCAGAACATAGGTATCTGCTAAACTGTCATCCTTCTCTCTCAGTGTGTGGGAGACGCCGGGATGACTGATACCTCCTGTGCTGACCCCCCTGGCTACACAAACACACACGCGCAGATATCCTCACAGTCCCAAAGAAACCCACACACATGTACACAGAGCACGCCAACGCACATCCATGCATGCCCTCATGCATTAAGTGCTGTCACACACTTTCTCTCTCCTGCAGAATGTGTTTGGCAACGCCACTGAGGGCTTCAGCCTGTTCAGCTCAGCAGGCTATGGCGAATCCGATCTGCTCTTCAGCGATGCTACCCACCACCTGCAGAGGGTTCTGGGTAGCTACACCTCTTGGCTCGGCCCCTCTTACACCACCATCCTGCAAGCCTTTGAGTGTGAGGGTAAGTGCCTGTGTGTTAAAGTGTGTTAATGTGGATCTGCTGATGGAAAGCGAGAAGCTAAGTGGCTGGAGGAGTGTTTTCCCCTTTGTGTGTGTGTGTGTGTGTTCATTGCAGCTGTTCTCATTATTCCACTTTCCCTCCAACAGGCTTCTGCTGATGGAACAGGGGGAAGACATCAATTGAATCAACTTTCAACCCATCCCTCTGTCTCTGTCTCTGTCCTCCTTCTCTACTTTCCCTCCCTGCCATCCGAGTCCCTCTGCCTCACCATCTCTCCTCCTTTTGGCTCTGCTTTTTGTGTGTGTTTTCTCCCCTGCATTTCACCACCCATTCTCCATTATTATATCCTCATTCTCCTCCAACCTACCACGACTTCTAATATGCTGGCTGGCAGGGTAGGACATTACTAAGAGGGGCTAATCGGCTAAGAAAAATTCCAGAAAAAAACTCTGTCCCCGAAATTGAGCATGATTAAAAGGACACTGGGAAGCAAGGACAGGATATAGAAAAGAATAGGACAGAATTAGAAAACAATAGAAAAGAAAAGAGGAGCAGGTTAATGAGTTGTTGTCGTTGTTATGTTATTGACAGACTTTTTTTCTTTTTAAAGCATTTTTAAAAAGAGGATTTTGATAAAGATTTTGGTGGGATTACACCATGAGCAAGAAAAGTGTCCAGCAAAATTGATTTACGTATACAAAAAAAAAAAAAAAAAAAATCCTTTTAACCATTTCTGCTCTGTACGCTTGTTGGGAAATTGTGTTCTTCTCAGCTTGTTGCATTAGTCTGAGCTTCAGCACCACCCTCCCACCCTCTTCCCACAGGGTCTGTCTCTGGCACTGAACAACAGGGTGCTATTAACTATGAGCTTGGAAGACTCAGTAACTGTATGTGTGTGTGTGTGTGTGTGTGTGTGTGTGTGTGTGTGTGTGTGTGTGTGTGTGTGTGTATATGTGTGTGCGTGTGAGTATACGCTTTTTCCCACAGCCATTATTGCCCTAATTGGCAGTCTGGCATATTATACTGTTTGTGTGTGAGTGAGAGAAAGTGTGTGTGTGTGTGTGTGTGTGTGTGTGTGTGTGTGTGTGTGTGTGTGTGCGTGTCTGTACGTTCATGTGTCTGTGTGTTACTGTGTGTGTGTTGATAGGACTGCTGCTTTCCCATGGCTTGTATAGCTTTCGACTTTGGATCACTGCTTTCTCACGTCTGGTATGGTGGACCGGACTGTGCCAGCTCACAGTGTATTGTTACACTATACAGTTAGGAGAAAGGGGATTAGGGCTTGGGCTGCCTCCAGTGACCCCTGAGTGAGTCTTTTTTAAAAGCTTTGATAATTTTCTCATCTGTGCCTCAACCCAAATTCCCGAAACATGCTCTCTAAAACCTCCTCTGTCTCTCCTTCTTCTGTTTTTATCCACATTTTATAACACGAGGGAATATGTGTTTTTCTACGATATGCCATTTATACTTTAACATTGCTACCAATAGGGAGACGCTGATATGATAGATGGTAATAGCTACTAACAGGACGATGTTCGAGGCCGGCATTACAAGCAGAAATTAGTCTGTGCAGTGTGTAGTATTGTCATGGAGGAGAGTGTAACTGAATTAATTTGCTATGGAGAAATGGTGATAGCCAAGAAAATGCATGAGATCATTTATTTTTTCTGACATGTTTCAGTCACTGTAATTAAAGGAAACCAGCAGCCTGTTTAAAAGCCTTACTTGACACAAAGAATCATGTACTGTAAAAAATGTATAACAGACTGTAAATCTGGGCTTTTGTCGCTCCACTTCTATTATTTCATTCGCTTTCTGCACCACAGAGCTGGACAATAAAATGATAAACTGGATGAAGTTCTCCTCATCAACCTGTAGTGGTTGACCTCATCATACTGGAGGAAATCCAACCAGTTAGAACTCGTACAACAGACTGACTTTACAGTCATTTTCTGAGATTACGGGGACTTTGTTTTGAAACAAAACCCAGTGCCTTCCTTTTGAATTGTCACGATTAATCTCCTTTAGCAGACTGCATGTGTTACATTTTTTGCTTTTGATGGCAAAAAAAAAAAAAACTCCCCAAGTGTGAACGTGCAAGATGAAAGACGCCACAATTCTTGAGAGAAGCTGTGTTTTTCACCTCATTAGTGAAGGGTAAAGGCAAATCTGTTGTTCTAATTCAACTCCGGTTTGTGCCATTGGTGCCGTTTGTTTTCACATTTGTCGGACAGTCCTAAAAGAGGCCTGATGTAAATACTCCTCACTCTTCGCCTGAATTTGTAGAGCTGCAAACCTTTTTTTTCAACCAATTAAATGAATGATGATAAAGAAAATAATCCTCTCTTCCTTTCTGGCTGACTTCTAATTATCCTGAAACAGCTACATGATATCTGTGTGGAAATGAATTATGCTTGATATCATCTCTCTGGCTCCATCTCACACCCTCGTCTCACACGTCTTTCTCGTCTTTCTCCCTCTCTCTCTCTCTCTCTCCCACACACACACACACACACACACACACACACACACACACACATACACACAGACATAGGCAGTTTGCTCCCTCTCATTCGCTTGTGAATGGAAGGAAAGAACAAGAGGAGGAATTAGGATGAGAGACGGGAGGTCACAACACACAGGGACCTACATACAGAGACTCAGGTGCTCACTCAGGTGGAGAGAAGTGTCTCTCAGGTAGACAGGTAAATGAGGGACATACTAGCATCAAAGCTGGAGACAGACCTCTTCTCTGCATGGACCAAATGCCCCTGCTGGCACTGCTTCACCTGATTTACAACAGTAATCCTTTAGAGGAAGTCTGTGCTCGTGATGGAGGAGCTCCATTTAGCTGTGAACAGATACTGTAGATTGAACTGCATTGCAGCAGAGTGCTGCAATCGCTCTCAATCCTCAGCTCTCGTGCTCTGGCCATTCTGTTGTACTGCACAAATAAAAACAACTAATGTGGCTTCAATACAGTCCTCTCAACCTTGAGGTGTGGGTGTGAAAGAGAGGAAAGTGGGTCAATACCAGCGGTGGAAAGTAATTGTATCCTTGCACTTATACAAACAGATGAACCAAGAGAGATCGAGGAGCCATAGGCTTATACAGCGGACGTCCCCCAAAATGACAGTGAAAAAACTAATCTAAGAAACATTAACTGTTAAATGAAAAGACAAAGATGTACAAATAAAATACAGGAAAATAAGCAGTGGTGGAAAAAGTCATCATTTATGCAACTAAAGTAGCAATGCAGTCCTGCAGTCAAAATGTTAGGTAGGAGACAGAATTACAGGCTTCTATCACAGACGACATCTCAACATGGCAGAGCAGGAAAAGAACATCAGTGATGGCTGAATTCCACTTCAGTTTTAAAAGTATTAATGCAGCTGATGCTTCCATGTGTAGGCAGGACTTTAATGTTGTAACAGGGTGCGGTGGAGCTAATTTTAACTGCTTAATACACTGTAGGGTATATGCATGGTATCATATGAACTGTTTTGTATGTAAAAATATTAATCTGCAAAGTCACTTATAACCATAACTGTCAAATACATGTAACGAGTAAAAGGTCAAATATTTAGCTCTGAAATGTAGTGGGGTGGGGTTTCAGAGTTGCATTCAGGTTAACTTTTTCTCAGTATTTCCATTTTAAGCCACTTACTTACTCTACTACATTTCATAAGGAAATACTTTGATAACTGACACAGGCAGGGACTCAGGAGGTCAATCAAGGAAGGCAAAGGTACAAAATCGGCAGGCAAAAGGCAAGGTCTAAGGCAGGATCTGGTCAAAAAACACTCAGGGCTCACTATGAAAAATTGCTGGACCGTTGTCACGAGGGAACAAGATGAACTGGCACAGAGGGGCGAAAACAAACTATATACTCAACAGGGAGGGAAGACGATGTGACACAGGTGCAGCAATTTATGGCGGGGCAGGTAATCACACAGGCGGGAAACACAAAAGGACAGGAAGTGAAGGACCTGAAACAAGAAAAAGAGGTGAGTATCAAAATAAAACATGAAACATAAGACAAAAAACACTATGAGAAACAAAAAGTAACTTAACTAACAGACAGAGGCGTGACAAATACTGAACTTTCTACTTATGTATTTGATGGCTATCGCAACTACTTAAGGTAGTAGCGAATACTGTGATTTTCACTTAAATTAAGGATTTGAATCTTTATCCCACCACTAACTAAAATTCTGCCATCAGCAATAATCCAATAATAGAATATATTGTAATATAACACCATGAAAATGCATATAGATCATTTTTAATACTTGTACTTACAGGAATTTTAACTTGAACTTAAAGGTACTATATCTAACATTCAGAAGAGCCTCGTTTTTAATGACACCGGTGGCTGTTAAGTGAACTGCAGTCAGTTAAAAAAACTTTTTTTTGTTTTTTTTGTGTTTGTGGCGAGTTTGGTGACATTTGCAGGCTCCATTTCTAAGCTAATGTTAGCCAGTGTTGCACACTGTTGCTGCAGTAGGGGAGCAAAAGAGGAGCATTGGGGTGAGGCTCTGAGGACTGAACATAAACATAACATCCTTTGGATTTCACCGGAAAATTGGATAGTGTTTTAGATAGAAATCAGGCCACAGGCTGTTATAGGAAAAGAAAGTCAGGAAACGTCTCATTCTTAAGTTATGTTAAAATCTGTTCACACATTTTCAATAAAAAATATGTGTACATAACATCAAAGTCTTACATATAGTAAAGGATCTGAATACTTCTCCCACTCCTTTTGGATGCTAGTAAGCCTATAAGAAGTGTGTGAGGGCACATATCGGTGGTGTGAATGTATGCATGCGAATCCGTACAGCCGTGTCATCTTTGTGTATTTGTGGGTGTCTTTATCGCCGCTGGTACGGGTGACGGCACGGACGGGAGACAGTTTGACCGGAGGTTGCGAGGCGAGAGTGGCGGAGAAGAGAGGGATGACAGTGATGGAGGGAGAGAAGAGGGAAGAATGACAGGTAATCCATCAGAGGCGTTACTGTCATTATTCAAT